GCGCTGCCGCCTCTCCTCTCAATGTTACTTATTCAAGAAAGAAGCGAGCAGAGGGGAATTTGACTAAAGACCCCTGTCGTTCTCAGAGCTGAAGGCACCCACCGGGGCACTTCTGTCCTCATCGTCTGCCCGGGTCGCACAGATGGGGTTCATTCGAGCCCATCTCAACTTCGAGGGAGTATCCCTTTCTGGATCGGCTCTAGCCCAGGCCCTCACCCCTCTTCCCAGCCCCGCCCGTCCCCAGGCCGGCAGTTCGGGTCACCGGCCATGCCCCTTGGCCCGTCTCCGCAGAGGTCACGGAGCGCAGGCGCCTGCCGGCCTAAACGGACGGGGCTATTTTTCAAGGCGGAAGAATACTAAAGTTTCAAGATTGGCAACTTTTTCAAGGAGAAAGTCCCTGCTTTGGACCCATTGGGTTTCTTCTAGTAAAATTTGTGCCGGGTACTCGTGTGCGATTAGTTCGTTCGCCGTCCGGGAAGGGGGTGGGGCAGGTCCGTCCGGTCGGCTTAGGAGAACTGGCCTCGCCGGACCTTTGACCGCGCCGGACCTCTGGCCGCGCCGGACCCCTGGCCGCTGAGGGCTCGGCCGCTTCCGGTCTCCCGGGCGAGGGGCGCCGGGGTCACGCAGCGCCTCCCGGGCAGGAAGGGACTTGGCTTCTCTCTCCTGTTCCGGGACAGAGCTTGGACCCCTGCGACCGCTCCGAACCCTGTGGTCCCTGACGGCCCCCGAGCTGGTGTTCCTCGACAGCCAGCGCGGCTGAGTCACCGGCGGGCTCGGGCGGGGCCGCACTCGGGCACGTGGCGGCGCTCCCTGCCCGCCATCTCCCGACCTCTGGCCTGCCGCACCCCCCACCCCAGGGTGGAAAAGTCCCGGGAGAGAGCGGCCAGAGATAAGAGAGGGAGGAGGGGCGAAATGCCAGACTAGCGGGGCGGGGGTGGGGGGCCACCGGGTAGGGATCCTGGAGTGGGGGCTGGGAGGTACGCCGCGGGGCAGGTGGGGCGGGGGAACGGGACTCCCGAGTGCGGAGAGGAGCCGAGGTGCCCCATGACCCCAGCCGATCGGCTGGCCGGGACTGCAGCAGAACTCGAGGCAGAGACCATACTCGGCGAGGAGTTACTGAGTGCAGAGGCACACTACCTTGCAGTGCTGCAAGCGGACCGCCGGACCGACCCCAGGCGTTCAGACGCGCACAGAGGGCCAGCCCTCCTCCCGTGCATTCATTTTTTGTTTCACTCCTGATTCAATACTATTCATTGACGGGCTGGGTCCGCGTGTTGAAGGCCCACAGTCGGTGGGGAAAGGGGCTTCTGACCGACAGTCTGGATTCTGGGCGACAAGTGCTGTCCCAGTGCTGTCAGTCGGGCGCCGCGCTAGCTCACAGGACCTGTCTAAATTCGTCTCCCGGCCCCCTAACACCCTCCTAGCTGTCCGGGAGAGAGTAGGATGAGGTGGCGCTGAGAATGGCCGTTATGAGGACCCTGAGAGGTGAGACCCTCTCGACTTCTGGGTGGAGGGTTCAGTTTTAGACCTCAGAACTTGCCCACAATCCCTAGTCCCTTCCCCCACTGAGGGCAGAGGCCCGCCCAGGCCCAGGGAGCTGAGCATGTGTGGATGTCAATCCTGCAGCCCCTCTTCCAGGCCCCCTCCCCAGCCCTGCAGGGCTCAGATTACCCCTGGCCTTTCCTAAAGGGCACTCATTCCTCTTCAACCTTTGCAAAAGGGGAATATAATCCCAGGGAGGAGGGAGAGACCCCACCACCACCCAGTCTGAAGCCCCTCCCCTGCTCCTCCCAAAAGGTAGAATTAAAAGTAGGGACTTTTATTGGGGGACAGAGATAAAGTAGGGGAATAATTGTTGACTTTTGGTAAGGGGATAGGTACCCAGGGCCAGAGGCTTCTGCTTTAGGCTGTAGTGGGCACTTGGCTACCAGCCCAGTGTGGAGGGGGGGAGGATGGAGAGAAAGAGGCGGGGCTGACTGGGGACAGGGTGGCCACGGGGATAAATGCCCAGCCTGAGAGGGGGTGAGCTGACACTGTCCCAGCTGCCACCTAGACTCGGAGCTCCATCCAAACCCCCAGCGAAGACATCCCAGGTCTGGTGAATCTTCCATCCCCAGAGGGTAGAGGTGGTAAAGGGTGCTTGTGGTGCTGGGTTGGAGAAAGGGGGACAGTTTCAGCTTTTTTCCTCCTGAGGCTGGGGGTGCTTGAAGAAGACTGGTGGGGCTGGAACCATCAGGATGGACAAACTCTGAGAGCACCCAAGGATCTAGGGAAAGGAGGCTGTGAGGAGAGGCTGCAGGATTGGATGAGAAGGGTAGGAGCTGGAACCTTGTAGGGAATTGGGAACCTATGAAGATTTGGGAACAAGAAAATGAAAACCAGAAAGGATTTGAGGGCTAGGAAACCATGGAGACCAGACTGCTTGATAAGAAAGGTGGAAGGAGAAGGCATAAGTGCAACTTTGAGGGCAGGTGGGGGGCCTGGGGAGTGGTGGAATCTGAAGAATTATAAAGGAGAGGCCCCTGGATTCTCAGGATGGGATGGTGGAATAGGAGCTGTTCTGAGTGGGGGAGGGGGCTGTGCCTGCCTCTTTGGTCTGTGACCTTTTTGTGGGGTATTTTTAGCTCCAGCACCTGCCTTCTTGGAGTAGGGAAGACTCTTAAAGGGCAAGGGATTTCTGGTTCCTTAAGGGATCAACTGTCCACACTCACACCTCTTGTTCTGCAGACATGGCCATGCAGAAAATCTTTGCCCGGGAGATCCTGGACTCCAGGGGCAATCCCACAGTGGAGGTGGACCTGCACACGGCCAAGGGTAACACAGGCCCCATTGAATTAGTTTGCCTCATAAGACCCCAACCCCATCTGGTCTTTGCCCCCAATTCTGTGCCACATCCTCTCCTTTCTCTGGGGTCCCCTTCCCCATACTTCCCAGTCCCTCTTCCAACCTGGCTCCAGAGCTGGGAGCTGGGAGAAGCAGAAGTTTCTCTCTACAATGTCTCCTGTCTTTGGTTTCAGAGAGGATACCTCAGCCCTTTGTGGGTGGGTGGGACTCTGTGTGATCTTCCAATTCCTCCTGCCTCAGGCCGATTCCGGGCAGCTGTGCCCAGTGGGGCTTCCACTGGTATCTATGAAGCTCTGGAACTAAGAGATGGAGACAAAGCTCGCTACCTGGGGAAAGGTGAGGAGAGACCAATGCAGGAGTGTGTGTGGGTGGGGTTTTAGGACTTGGGAACTCAAGGGGTAGAGGACTAGGACCCAAAGCTCTTGTGGAGCTGGGGTCCACAGGAAGAGACCTGATTGATTCAGAGATCCGAATCTCTTCTGGCCTCTAGGAGTCCTGAAGGCTGTAGAACACATCAACAAGACTCTAGGCCCCGCCCTGCTGGAAAAGGCAAGTGGAGTAGTCTGCTCACCCACCTCCTCCCCCTTCCCCTGCCATCTCATCCCAGACAACCCCTCTTCTCCAAAATTTTCACTTATCCTTCCTCCGGAACATGCCCTGACTCTTGAGAAATGTGACCTCTGCTCCCCTCTCCTCAAACCTGCCTTTCCAGAAACTAAGCGTTGTGGATCAAGAAAAAGTTGACAAATTTATGATTGAGCTGGATGGGACGGAGAATAAGTGTGAGTGAAGGGCTCGAAGTGGGGAGGGGTGCAGAGAGGTCACAGGAGTGACGTCTGGCTAGGGTTGTTTTTGTGTCCCACATTTTGGGGCACACTGTAGCTGGATGGATTTGTATTCATTCCACAGGCATTTCCTATGCCTGCCCTCTACCAAGCCTGGGCCCGTCTGTGTACACAGACATGCAGCGGACACATTCCCCCAGGGTGGGGGCTCCTCAGGCGACTGAGGAGAGGTCTGTTAACAAACTCTTAATGCCCAGTGGTTTGGAGCTCTGGATTCTTTCTGAGGTGATGGGAGGAGATATCCCATTCAAGGAGATAGCCGCTACCCTGCAGGAGAACCTCTCACCCTTTCTTTCCGCTTGCCTCCTTGCAGCCAAGTTTGGGGCCAATGCCATCCTGGGTGTGTCCTTGGCTGTGTGTAAAGCTGGAGCAGCTGAGAAAGGGGTGCCACTATACCGACACATCGCAGATCTTGCCGGGAACCCTGACCTTGTACTTCCAGTGCCTGTGAGTGCCGCTGCCCCTGCCAGATTTCACCTTGACAGAGCTACCCCTACCCAGTGAGGATGCTTAAGCAGTCCTTGGAAAATCCACCTTTTAGACTAGCTCCAAAGAAGTGGTTTCCTGAAATTGAATCTCTCCTGCTGTGGTCCAGCCTCCTTCCTCTTTTCCACAATCTAAATCTGCCCTTAAACTTCTCTGTGCATCCTTTCCTGATCACGTAACCTGGTTCCTTCACATTCCAATCCTAGGTTCAATAACTCCAACCTCATTCCACTCCTGCACTCCATCCCCCAAATCAGATTGAGAGCTTCTTCATGGCAAGGATCTTGGCACTTCTTTGTATCTGTTTGAGTCCTTTTTAAACCAATGTTCTCTTAATGAAAATCTTCTGAATTTAATCTCAATAATACTGTTACTATTTATTGTTACTTACTAGGAAGATTGTATAAGAGCATGGACTCTAGAGATAGACTGTTAGGTTTGAATCCTGGCTCTGCCTGTTTACTAGCTGTGTGATCTTAGGCAAGTTCTTTAACTTCTCTATGCCTCAGTTTCCTCATCTGTAAAGTAGTACTCAATTAATAGAGGTATTTAATAATGAAAAGAGCTAATATATGTAAAGCACTTACAACAGTGCCTGGCATGTAGTAAATGTTATAAAAGTGTTAGCTATATATACTAGGCACATGCTAAGAACTTTACATTCAATTTCTCTAATTTTCAGCCAAAGATCCTACAGGGAAGTAGTTGCTATCCCATTTTACAAAAGTGAGGAAAGAGGCTCTGAGGAGTGAAATTACTCATCCCAGACCACTCAGCCAGTAAGTAGGGAAGCTAGAATTCCACCTCAGCCTCCTATACCATCCCCTTCTTAGGCCTTCAATGTGATCAACGGGGGCTCCCATGCTGGAAATAAGCTGGCCATGCAGGAGTTCATGATTCTGCCTGTGGGAGCCAGCTCCTTCAAGGAAGCCATGCGTATTGGTGCTGAGGTCTATCACCACCTCAAGGGGGTCATCAAGGCCAAGTATGGGAAAGACGCCACCAATGTGGGTGATGAGGGTGGCTTTGCACCTAACATCCTGGAGAACAATGAAGGTCAGTGCTGAGTACCGTGGGGGACAGACCCCTTGGGTCCCCACAAGGAAAGGGGAGGCTGCAAACAGGTGCCACTGGAGTCTCAGGTCTTCTCTTGCTCCTCTCGCAGCCCTGGAGCTGCTGAAGACGGCCATCCAGGCGGCGGGTTATCCAGACAAGGTAGTGATTGGCATGGATGTAGCGGCCTCTGAGTTCTATCGCAATGGGAAATACGATCTTGACTTCAAGTCACCTGATGATCCTGCACGGCACATCACTGGGGAGAAGCTTGGGGAACTGTACAAAAGCTTTATCAAGAACTATCCTGGTGAGATTCCCCGGTGTCACAGTGTTCCTGCCCAAGTCATCTATAACTGCCTAACACACTGATTTCAGTGACCTGCTTTGCCACTGACTTGGGTCCTTCTAATTCTGTAGCCCTATTATAATCCCCAGCCAAGCTCTTCTGACCTATCACCCATCCATGAGGCCTCTTCTGAGCTCTAAGTCCGTCTCTGCTCCCAACCAGTGGTTTCCATCGAGGACCCCTTTGACCAGGATGACTGGGCCACTTGGACCTCGTTCCTCTCGGGGGTGGACATCCAGATCGTGGGTGATGACCTCACAGTCACCAACCCTAAGAGGATTGCCCAAGCTGTTGAGAAGAAGGCCTGCAACTGCTTGCTGCTGAAGGTCAACCAGATCGGCTCGGTGACTGAGTCCATCCAGGCGTGAGTATCTCCTAACCCTGGGCTCACTAGAGCCTCCCTCTGTCCCAGCTCTTGCCCACTAACTTCAAGTCTGTCTTTCCATTGGCACCTGATCCACCCATACTTTCTTTTGACCTGATCCCAGAAACTTTGCCACTGTGCCCCCCATTCCCAGCCTGTGCCATGCTTCTCTCCCAGATTCTGCTGTTCTTCCCACCAGCATCTCAAGAGCCAAATGCATGATCAGACATCTCCTCTTATCTCCTACTTCCCAAATAACTTAGTCCCTGCCTTCTGGGCAAAGTGCCCATTAACCAAAACAGAAGGAAAAAGCCCTACTCAACCCCAGGCTTTCCCAATGAGGATGTCCCACAAGGCCTCATCAGATGTCCTCTCTACCCAGCTGCAAACTGGCTCAGTCTAATGGATGGGGAGTGATGGTGAGCCACCGCTCTGGGGAGACTGAGGACACATTCATCGCTGACCTCGTGGTGGGGCTCTGTACAGGACAGGTATTACAGCTTCCCTCTACTGAGTGTCTGACCAAATTTTCATGGAATCCCCTGCCTCCTGCCCCTGAATTGAATGCCACCAGAGGCTGCTCCCTTGGGGCCAGGTCCAACCCCTCTTCTAGCCTCACCCAACCCTCCAAATCCCTCTTCCCTCCTCAGATCAAGACTGGTGCCCCCTGCCGCTCAGAACGTCTGGCCAAGTACAATCAACTCATGAGGTACTACGGGTAAAGTGGGCCTGGGCATTGGGGAGCTGAATGTTACTAGGTTGGAAGGCAGCAGCTGACTATGTCTACATTTTAGGATTGAGGAGGCTCTTGGGGACAAGGCTGTCTTTGCTGGACGCAAGTTCCGTAACCCGAAGGCCAAGTGAGAAGCTGGAGGCCCTGGGGCCCCACTGGACAGAGTCAGGTCTTCAAGCCCTTCTTCTTGAAATAAACACTGCTGGCAACCAAGATGGTGGTGTGTTCCTTTGTGGGAGGGAGGGAGGGAGAGAGGAAGGGGATACTGCTGTCAAGACTGGGAAAGACAGGAGGTGAAGAGATGGGGGCAGGAAGGGAAGGCAGACAGATGTGTCACCTGATGGGACAAAAAGGAGGTGAGACTCAGAGAAGCTTAGTGGATCTAGAACACGGAAGTTAACATTTTGGAAGGAGGTTGGGGGAAGCAGATGCCATATGTGAAATGAAGCTGAAGAGATGCTGATGGAATAAGGAACCAGCTCCAGGAGAAGGGGAGCTAGGTGGGGGACTGAGGGTCCTGCCATCACCATGAGGGGGAAGCTGGCTACAGAGATAAAGTAAATGGTCTGCAGAGTGCACTATGGAGTGCAGGTCACGATTCCGGTGAGTGGTTCGTAAGGATGAGAGTGATGAGAGCAGCTATCACTTCTACAGAGCTAACAAAGATCTGGAACTGTTCTAAATATTTTACATATATTGACCTGTGCAATCTTTTTGTTTGAGTCAGGGTCTTTGTCACCCAGGCTGGAGTGCAGTGGCATGATCACAGCTCACCCCAGCCTTCAATTCCTGGACTCAAGCAATTCTCCTGTATCAGCCTCCCGAGTAGCTGGGACTATAGGGACACACTGCCATGCCTAATTTTTTTTTTTTTAAGTTGGACTCTCACTCTGTCACCCAGGCTAGAGTACAGTGACAAGCTCACGGCCATCACAGCCTCAACCTGCGGGGCTCAGGAGATCCTTCTGCCTCAGCTTTCCAAGTAGCTGGAACTACGGGTGCATGCCACCACGCTCAGCTAGGTTTTTTATTGATTGTAGAGATGAGGTCTTGCCAGGTTGCTCAGGCTGGTCTTGAACCCCTAGGCTCAGACAATCCTCTCACTTCCACCTCCCAAAGTGCTGGGATTACAGGCATGAGCTACCACGCCCAGCTTAATTTTTTTATTTTTTGTAAAGCCAAGGTCTCAGGTATCACCCAGGCTGGTCTTGAACTCCTGGGCTCAAGCAGTCCTCCCACCATCACCTTCCAAGATGCTGAGATTACAGTCATGAGCCACTGCACCTCATGAGATAGTTACCATAATTATCCCCATATTACAGGTGAGGAAATTGAGGGACAAAAGGTTAAATACTTTACCCAAAGTAATAGAGCAACTGGCAGAGCCAGGAGCCAAGCCAGGTCACATGGCTCCAGCAAGTATGCTCTTAAAATACCATATCTGGCCGGGCTTGGTGGCTCAGCCTGTAATCCCAGCACTTTGGGAGGCCGAGGTGAGTGGACTGCCTGCGTCTGCGGGTTCGAGACCCACCTGGGCAAGTTGGTGAGACCTCGTCTCTACAATAAATAAAAAACTAGCCAGGTGTGGTAGCACGCGCCTGTAGTTCCGGCTACTCGGAAGGTTGAGGCGGAAGGATTGCTGGAGCCCAGCAGGTCGAGGCTGCGATGGCTGGGAGTGTGCCACTGCACTCCAGTCTGGGTGACAGAGTGAGACTCCAACTCAAAAAACAAAAACAAAAACAAAAACAAAAACATACCATATCTTATAAATCTGATAGTGCCAATAACTGGCCATCTTTGACCCACACAAACAATTTTATGATGTTCAACCTAAAATTATTCACCTTTTCACCAGTGGCTCCAGGACCCAGCCTTCTGTGAACACACAAACTAGGACATTGGGTTGAACAGTGTTTACTGAATGTAAAGGAACCCCAGCCCCAAGGGGAAGAAAATTTCAAGAAGAATGGGAAATAATACAGATTAAATACCCACCTGCGCATTCACACTCTCTTTCACACAGACATACACATACCACATACATATCCAAACTCCAACAGTGACAAATCAAACACCTGCTTCCCCTCAGGCTGAGTGACAGCTGGAAGGAGATGGTTCAGAGGTGGGGCTCCAGGATGGGATCTAATAGCAGCAGCCTTGTCCTTCCGTATCCTCTGCCCTGCCTCAGGGATCAAAGGGAGCTGGGTGGAGTGCCTAGGAGGTAGGTGGCAACTCTTCCCCACTCTGCCGCAGACGCTTCTTGGCTCGGATTTCATTCATGGCCTCTTCGATGGAGCGTGTGTCCCTCTTGTTGGCCACAGGCACTGAGGGCAGAGGGGAGGGTTGGGAGGGTCTCTGCTCCCCTTCCCCCCACGTTCTATGCTCTTCTCCCCAGCCACCCTCCAGCCCCCACTGTGGTCTCACCACAGCCATAGGTCTTGTTGGCCTGTAGCATGTGGGCTGCATCCTTAGCTGCTCTCTTGCCGATGAGGTGGCTGTACTTGTCCTTGTAGTCACTGGCAGGGTTCACGACCACTGGTCCCTGCTGGGCTGCCTCTTCCTCCTGCCGCTGGGCCAGCTCCTAGGGGTAAAGAGGTAGGGTACTGGTGCTCAACTCCCAGGTGGTGGGCTTCAGGGTTCCAGGGACTGCCAAGCACAGCTCACCTTCAGCTTTCGTTTCTCCTCAGCTTTCTGGGGGTCCCATTCTTCTCCACGGCGGTAGGAGTCCAGCTCTTCATCTGAGGGTGCAAACTCCTGAAAAAGAAGGGAACAATGGGGTTGGGGCTGATATAAATGTTTACTCTCATGCCTTTCCCTGGTAGGTGCAGGGAAGGCAGGCTGAAAAGGGTAGAGGAGAGAGTAAGGAACTCAGGCCTTCTACCTTTTTGAAGATCATGACATAGCGACACTCATCATCTTCCCCAAAGGAGAAGGATGTCAGGCCAGCCACCTCCACCACGTCGTGTCTGCAAAGAGTATGATGAGCCATAAGATGATCTAGCACCCTCTTCTTGAGGAGCCCCCTCACTGGCCTGTTCATGCCCCTGGCCACCCATTTCCTGCCTCCTGCAGCCCGGAGATACTCACAGTATGCTCCTCTCTATCTTGTTCATTGGCTGAAACTTTTTCTTGATCTGCCCACTGTCTTGGATGAAATCTGACACCTCTTTCTCCATCTTAGGAGTGGGGAAAGGAGGAAGATATGAGACAATGGCTCCACCCAAATATCCCTCTCCCCAACTTGGCCAAAGGCCCTTCTACGCTTCTCCAGCATCCGCCCCAGCCTCCACGCCACTGGCTTTCAGCCTTCACATCTCTCTTGACACATTTTCAGCAAAACTGAGTCCTCAACCTTCCAATTCTAACTTATTGGAAATTGGAAGTCCTTCCTGAGGCTGCCTTTGGTCTCTCCAGTTGTTCTCACCCTTTTACGAAACTCCACTTTCTGTTGTTTTTCTTGCTCTTGTAGTTTCTTCAGGCGGGCAGCCTGCTCTGGGGGTGAGAAATGGCAGCATGAGGCCAGGGCTAGAAGCATGGGGAGGGTTTATAAAGCTTCTGAAGTATGCTGTCCACTGGGAGGTGTCAGGCTGGGAAGGTAGGATTACTGTTTATTCACCAAGCATTTATTAACTATGAAATAGTTCCCCTTATCTTTGGGGGATACATTCCAAGATCCCCAACAGATGCCTGAAACTGTAGATAGTACTGTACCCTAGATATGCTCTTTCCTATACATATGTGCCTGTGATAAAGTCTAGTTTAGCTGGACGTGGTGGCCCACACCTGTAATCTCAGCACTTTGGGAGGTGGAGGCAAAAGGATTCCCTGAGTACACAGGTTCGAGACCAGCCTGAGTAACTTGCCAAGGCCTCGTCTCTACAATAAATCAAAAAATTAGCCAGGTGTAGTGGCACTCATCTGTAGTTCCAGCTACTTGGAAGGTTGAGGTAAAGGCTCGCCTGAGCTTAGCAGGTCGAGGCTATAGTGGCCATGAGTGTGCCACTGCACTTCAGCCTGGGCAACAGAGTAAGACCCTAACTCAAAAAAAGAGCTTAATTTATAAATTAGGCACAGTAAGAGAGTAATAACAACAATAATAAAATAGAACAATTGTAACAATCCTACTGAGGCTAGGGATGGTAGCTTATGCCTGTAAACCCAGTATTTTGGGAAGCTGAGGAGAATCGCTTGACTCAGGAGTTCAATACCAGCCTGGGCAATATAGTGAGACCTCATCTCTACAAAAAAATTAAAAAATTAGCCACGCATGGTGGCGTGCGCCTGTAATGCCAGCTACTTGGGAGGCTGAGGTGGGAGGATTGCCTGAGCCCTCAATTCCCTGAAGCTATGGTGAGCTGCAATCGTGCCCCTGCAATTCCGTCTGGGTGATAGAGTGAGACCTTGACTCAAATAATAATAATAATAATAATAATAATAATAACAACAACAACAACAACAATAAACTGTAATAAAAGTTTGTGACTGTGGTCTCTCTTTGCTTTTTAAAATTATTTTTATTTAAGTCGGAGTGTCTGTCACACAAGCTAGAGTGCAGTGGCACGCACTGCAGTCTCAACCTCATGGGCTTAGACAATCCTTTCACCTCAGTCTCCTGAATAGCCAGGACTACAGGTGTGCGCCACCATGCCTGGCACATTTTTTTAATTTTTATTTTTTGTAGAGATGAGTTCTTGCTGTGTTGCCCAGGGTAGTCTCAAACTCCTGAGCTCCGGTAATCCTTCCACCTTGGTCTCCCAAAGTGTTGGGATTATAGGTGTGAGCCACTGCACCCAGCCTTTTTTTTTTTTTAATTTTATGATATGGGGTTTCACTCTGTTGCCCAAGTTGGAGTACAGTGGCATGACTGTAGCTCACTGTAGCCTCAAACTTCTGAGTTCAAGCTAGCCTCCCACCTCAGCCTCCCATCTAAGCCTTCTGAGTAGTTGGGATTATAGTCATGTGACTATGCCTGAATATTTAAAAAAAATTTTTTGAGTCAGAGTCTTACTCTGGAGTGCAATGGCACAATCACAGCTCACCTCAGTCTCAATCTCCTGGGTTCAGACGATCTGTCTGCCTCAGTCTCCCAAGTAGCTGGGACTAGAGGCATGTGTCACCACATCTGGCTAATTTTTTGATATTTTGTAGAGACGAAGTCTTGCTATGTTGCCTAGACTGGTCTCAAACTGCTGAGTTCAAATAATACTCTCGCCTTGACCTCACTAAGTGCTGGGATTATAGCCTAAGCCTTTTTTTTTTTTTTTTTTTTTTTTTAG